TTCAGACTCTGGATCTCCCAGCAGGCAGGCACAATGGCAGCAGCCAAGAATCTGCACCACCCCCAGCAAGTGCCCCCTTCTCTGAGTTCTGCTAATGCAATCCAGCAGCCAATTGACTGAAATTCCTTCCGCTTTATTGTTCTCAGTCCTTAGCAAGGCCAATGCGTAGCATCTAGCAGGGCTATGAGGCAGACCTCCACTGATTCTGGAGTTGTAATTCCCCACTGCTGGCTCCTGCAGTTTTATTACAGCCTTTTTTTCCTCCCCCTAAGATTGACAGACATAAACCTCCAGTGTGGAGGCCTGCAGCAGCACCCTTAAAGGCTTCTTTGTGTGGAAATGTAACCTTAGGGCAAAGTCGGCCCAGCTCCAGGAAAGGCACATTATCCTGCTACAGGGAAGTACTGTGCTGGGACAAACCTCAGCATTTCTCCTTCTGACTGGCTACCTGGGATCCTCCCCGGAACAATGCTTTCTTCCTCTGTTTTTTGTGTGTTTTTTTGTTTTTGTGGGTTTTTTGGGGGGAGAGGGAGGACTTTGAGGGTTTGGGAGTGCTATAAGGAGACCTGTAGTGACTGTTCAGGGAACTCCACATGCACTCAGAGCAATCAGATGTCCTTTCCGTGAGTGGATCTCTAAAGGCAAGGATAGGGATAGATCCAGTCGTCCCCTGGTGGGCTGGGAGTTAGCACCATTTGTTCCTCTTGGACCTGATGCTACCATGCCCAAAAGGAATGCTTTGGATCACTTAGTGGACCTGATCTATTTATGCAGGTGTTGGGTTAAACAAATTACTCCAAAAGGCAAGGGTGAAAAGGTGCACAATCTTAATTTATCATGCAGGATTAAAGTCAGATTTAAGTCAGGTAGAATTATTAAAAGATTTAGAGCCAGTGTCTTTTTCCAAAGAGAAGAATGACTAAAGAATCCTCTTTATTTAGGTACAGTGAGGTCAGGAATGTAGCATCTTATGTTTGGAGGTTTGTTTGTTTTCTTTATCTTTTAAATGTACACCTATATTTTCAATCAATGAAATAGAATAGTAATAGGCAATTTAATTATCAGATATATATGATTAGGCATTAACTATTCCATATAGACAAGTGCCGAGAGAGAGAGAGAGAGAGAGAGAGAGAGAGAGAGAGAGAGAGAGAGAGAGATGAAGGTATGCACTTGTCATTACAGAGGGCTCCCTATAGGAACAGGGACCGTGCCTAAATTAAAAGGACAGGTGAGATATAGCTAGTTAGAGAAGATGAAGTTGAAATCAGGGAGAGGTAAGAAAGACACCAACAGTTCATATGGAATCTAGTTGAGATGTGGTCATTCAGTCCTATAGCCCCGGGAGCTGGAGTTATTAGTATAGAGAGGTTAACATAATGTTTTTACTTAATGTTTTTCGAAAATGTATTCTTGCAGAGTCATGAACATGGAAACATGGACAATGAAGGCAATGGAAACAAGGAGATGTCTTTAGATCAAATTTGAGATTACAAAATGTGGACATAAATTTAAAAATACACATGCAATTATTTTCCCCTTTCCCTTTTCCTCCTAAATCTAGGGGGAGGAGGGGAGTTTAGGATTAAAAGGCTCCCTGTAGTTTCTCCTCTAGCTTCTCCTCCAGTTATCCCATCCACACTCCATTTCTGGTTTTGGGCAGAACTGTAATTGTCCTTTGTAGGGAATTACATGAACTCCTGTGCTGGTTTTCTAGTGTGGGAAAATGACTGGGGAGGCTAAGACCACCAAACTAGTTTCATTATGACCCAAGGTACACTTAAACCCAGCCCTTCAGTGGTAGGCGACTGGCCCAGCACACTCTTCCTCTACAGTGCTCATTAAAATGTTATTTACATTTTGCAGTATGGTCCCAAGTCATAAATTGGGTTTTTATCTTGGCAAATAAAAAAAAAATACTCTTGTGCTATCCGGGCCTGCAAAGTTTTAACTTGACTATGGACCTGCTGGTGATTTGCAAAATAAGGTCATCCCATTGGAAAAAGATCTTCCCATTTCAGTTCTGAAGAGTTGGCAGGAAAGTCAAGAACGAATGAAAAACCCATGGTCACATAATTAAATTTATTAGCCAAATAGATTTTACCCTTTATTTTCTTCTTAAAAGTGAATTTAATGTTTGCCAAAAGTACAAAATCAACAACTCTGACAAAAACACACTGTATACTTTGGTCCAAGTCTTCATAACTATGCTCTATCTCCTTGCCTTGAAACTCTCATTTATGTGACTAGAATTATTCCCAATCAAAAACAATATCATTAATCTCAGTCACTTTTAGGTGAACCAAACTGTCTGGTTTCTTACCTCAACAGGCCAAATTAAATTAACATTTTAATGATGTGTTTCTGGCATTGTTCATGCTTCATAAAGAGTAACTCACTTTATTTGACTCAAGGCAACAAAGCTAAACAAGTGATTAAAAAAAAAAAAAAATGGACCTTTTCCAGATCTGGAAATTAAGTTTCCTTGCATTCTTCTGAGGCAGCTAAAATTCTTCAGAACCTACAAGCCCAGCTATAGGATGCTACTACCTTTCCAAGACAACCAATAAAAATTACAGCTAGAACCAGTTATGAGAATAATTTTTTTTTGCAACATCCTCATGAAGGCCAATCGAAAACTAGAGGCCTTCTCTCAAATGGCAATAGGCCAAACATCTAAGATCTCTGGAGATGCTTGACATCTTGCCATGTTGTCATCACATTCAAATCCTGGAGAAGGTATTCTCGTCTGAGTTTCACTGACTACCAGTAAGGGGCATGTGCAGAATAATAAGTGATTCAACTTTTCCTTCCCCAGTTAGATAGAACCTAACATGCTTACTAATATTCCCAGGAAGATGGTATGGGGAATGTGCATCAAAGATGGGATCAGCAATTCACCTTTCCACAGCCTGATCACATGCTGGGGAACAACCTTAATTCTGTTGTTTGAAAAAGTCTGGGATTATTGTAATTACTATATGGAACAGGATTTTTTTTTAAAGCTTTTTTTTTTTTTTAATCTTCATCCAAGGATATATTTTATTGAGAGAAAGAGGAGAGAGAGAAACATCGATCGGTTGCCTCCAATACGAGCTCTGACCTGGGAGTAAGCCTGCAATGTAGGTATGTGCCCTGACTGGGAATCGAACCCACAACCTTTTGGTGTAATGGTCAATATTACCTGGCCAGGTCCACAAAGGATTTTTAAAAAACAAAATTTAGGGGAAAGCAACCACTTCACTCACCTAAGAGAGCTTTTGTTGCCAAATAGCAATTTTACACCCTAGCAGTTACACAGTACATTTTGTTTCCAAAGGTGCTTGCCACCACCAAATACCATAGTCATATATTTTTCTTCCTAACCAACAGGTGAAACCAGATGGTGTCTTCCCATCTCTGTTCAAAGAAGTCATGTGCTCATCTGTAGAGAATTGCCGGTATGCACAGGGAATCTTCACATGTGTACCTATATCAAGAGGCCTTCAGTGTCATGCATCTAATTATAAATATAAGCATGCAATTGTCTAAATATAATCATGCAAATTAATAAATGCCATCACTCTTTAGCACTATACTAGCAGTTGACTTTCTTTTCTGAGCCATTTTTCACAAAGAAACAAAGTTATTATCTCTTTGCAGGATTTACTGCAGATGTGACAACTAGAGAGAACCATAAAATCTTGCTTAAGATGTGAATACCAGGTGGATGACTGGGCCCACTCACTAATCAACTGATTTGTTCCAAGGCAGTAATGTTTGGGATTCTGATGCCTCCGCAACACTGCACGTTATTATTTTTCACCGACCTCTGAGGTTGTCCGTAAGTCACTGCAATGTTCAATGCCAAGTCTTCACATTCTCAGAGATAAAGAGAACAAAAAAGCAGAGAAAGAATGTGTAGCTCATTATCCACACGTTATTTTCCTATAGTTTGGGGTATTGAAAATACTTTTTAGAAATTTTTGAAGGCAATGACTCCCAGACATATTTCATAAAAAAGGGATATTTTTGCATTTTATGTCCAAGAGTGGATGTAAGAAGCAGTTTGTTTTAACTCTGTAGCAAAGGAAGTGACCTAAATAATTTGTCTTGTATTTCATAATGACCAGAGTAGTGAACTATATTTTTCCTATATCTGGTTCTTCCATGCTACTATTTTTCAAGCTAATACATATAAACTTTACCTAAAAGATCAAATGAGTTTTTCCTTTTTAAAAAAAAAAAAAATGTACACTTAAAAAAATGTTTTTTTAAAATACTTTGGAGTTCTTTGTGTGTTTTTTGTTTTGTTGGGTATTTTTGTTGTTGTTGTTGTTAATATGTTGTTATTGATTTTGGAGAGAGGGGAAAGGAGAGGGATAGAGAAATAGAAACATCCATGACAGAGAAACATTGATCAGCTGTCTCCTGCACACCCCCTACTGGGGATCGAGCCTGAAACCCGGGCATGTGCCCTGATCTGGAATAGAACTGGTGAGTTCTTGGTTCATGGGCCAATGCTCAACCACTGAGTCACCCTGGCTGGGGCTGCTTTTTAAATTTTTTAACTCTTCATGAATCGGTTATAAATCCAAGCTAAACTAATGGTAGTTAAGTGGTCCTTTCCTTGTAGTTCAGAGTTCTAAAAAACAAGTTGGTACAATTAAATGTATGGCACATTACATTAACAATATAGGTTGTGCTATATGGCAAATATAAAGCACTTTTATCCTAAATACAAAGTAAATCCATAACTGAAGTATCTCAAAGGCAACTTTTTAAAAAATGATTTTTGTTGCAGCTGAATTCAGAACTCAAAGCACCTCTATTAGCCACCGTTTAGGCAAAATACATGCAGAAGAAAAAGTATTACCCTGTTAATGTGCTTCAACTCTGCCCTAAAGGGATTACTTCCAGGAGTGGAAAGGAAGACCAAGTCTACAGAAATCTTGGCAACCTCTTCCACAGGAAGATTATAGAGGTTTCATGGATATTTGTTGTTGGCCAGGAGGTATTACCTTTCTCCAAATTCCATTCATGCAGCTGGTTTCCTCTTTCCTCCTTGGGTAAACTTCACAGTAAATATACACATTGATTAGTCCCATGTCGAACATCTCTTACTTCCACATGAACCAGGGTCGATGAGCCTGTAACCTGCAATGAAGAAGGAGTGAGTCGCCCGGCCGGAGTGGCTCAGTGGTTGAGCATCATCCTATGAACCAGGAGATCATGGTTGATTCCCAGTCAGGGTACATGCCCATTTTGCAGGATCAGTCCCCAGTGGGGGGCATGCAGGAGGCAGCCAATGAATGATTCTCTCTCATTATTGATGTTTCTATCTCTCCCTCTCCCTTCCTCTCTGAAATCAATAAAAATATATATTAAAAACAAAAGGAGTGGGTCATAAACATTAAGAGTGCATGCTCTGGAGTCACAGGTGCTGGGTTCAAATCCTGGTTCTGTCCTTAGAAGCAGTGTAACCTTGAATCAGTCACAGGTTCCTCATTCATAAAATAGGGCAGAAGATTAAAAAAAAAATACATACTCTATGATTCACCATCTCACTTCGTTAGTATCTCCATCGAAAATACCCTGAAGCTCTCATAGGCTCTGTAGAAGCTCTAACTGGCCTTTGGACCAATATGTGAATTTCCTTTCCAATGAAGTGTAAGTTGCATTTTTCTCTGAAGGTTACTATCTTATGCTTGGTGCTGACTCTCATCTAATGCTTGAGCCCAAAAATCCTAAGTTGGGGCAAAGACTATGAGAAATCAGTCAGTCAGTTTGTCCACCTTCTCACAGTTGCAGCATCTTGCGCAATCCTTGGTCACCAGGTGTTGGTGCCTGACCTCATTCCCTGAGGCGCTTGTTGCCTTCTCAGCCAGACTCTGAGCTTTTGGAGGAAAGACTCCAGCCGGCCTTGTATTCCTCTGAGCATTAAGTGCAGCACAGCACCTTGGAAAGAACAGATACTCAGCAAATGTTTGTGTGTTTGTGACTTGATTATTTTGAGAAAGAATCAATTATACTCTTACAAATGGGCCTATAAAACTCTCTTTCCAGGAGTAACCTGTTTGGACAGTAATGTAGTGTCACAGCTGGGGTTTTTTCTTTCATACTTTTTGTTGCTGTTGTAGTTACCTCTGGTCTTAATGAAAATATTTTAAATTGACTTGTATCATATTTGAAAGTGTAATAAATACTTATGAGGCTACCAAGATGGGCTTTTCGCATTCCACACACACGTATTAGAAATGGCTGCTAGGCTCTAAATAAAACAACCTGGAAGAGTATACTCTCCAGGGGTGGGCAAACTTTTTGACTCAAGCGCCACAATGGGTTCTTAAACTGGACCGGAGGGCCGGAACAAAAGCATAGATGGAGTGTTTGTGTGAACTAATATAAATTCAAAGTAAACATCATTACATAAAAGGGTACGGTCTTTTTTTTTTTTTTAGTTTTATTCATTTCAAATGGGCAGGATCCGGATCCGGCCCGCGGGCCGTAGTTTGCCCACGGCTGCTCTAGACTGTAGGTTGTTTTATTCATTTATATTTTTGGTGCGTACACTAACATTTATTATTATTTCATAGAAAGATGATTATACTATTTTTATTTAACAATGCATTGTAAACATTGTTTCCATGTGAACACACACCTCATTCCTTTTTAGTGCTACATAGTATAGAAATTTCTTATTATCCAGTTATTCATTATCATCATATGAATGCCAGTAGTTGCTAAGTTGTGTAGGAAAGCAGAAATTGGTCATAACAGAAAATGTCCACTAATGAACTGGCCACTTACTAAATTAGTCCCCACTCAGATAGCCCTCTCAATTTAATACCAACAGCTACCCCCACTCAGCCAGTCAATTTTGCTGATTGTGGATGTTATAAACATCTGACAGTACAATGTAAATAAAATGCATTTCAGTTACCATGTAAAATTGCTAATCTTGCAAAAGATGCAGGATTTTATGAAGTCATTGGGAGTGATTTTGGGGTCCTGTTCCATAAGCAAATGAATATCTGGCCGTGTTAGCCCAGTTAACAATTAAAGATGCAAAAAACAACAAGGATGGTAAGAGGATAAATTCTTCAAAAGGAAAATTATTTGAATATTAAAAGATTAAGAGAGGCTCTCAGGAAAATTGATGAAGCCCTCACATCTATTTTTCAAAATGACCTTTGTATGATTCTGCTATAAAAGTCAGTGTGAAGTGAAGGGTGTCAAAATTTGCTATCAAATAATTTTGTTAGGAAATTATCTCCCTCGCCAAATCAACACTTGATTCATTCTTTGTTTATTCTAAAAATTAGAGCATTGTTGCAATTAGAGTTGTTATATGTATATCTTCAAAGATAAATTATATTTAAAGACAAGATAATCTTTACTTTTATTTTTTCAAAATAAAGTCTCAATTAATGGTTTTTTTATTCTTTATTTTACAATGCTAGACTCTATTACTTTTGCAGCTTTCAACAAATATTATGGCAAACAGAAACAACAGATGCTGAGAATAAGGCTCCTAAATAGACTAATCAGATTCCCTACCTCTCTCTCCAGGAGGCATTTAGAAGCAGGACTGGCCACTTTGCAAGGAGTAAAGCCCCAGGGTGTTTGGATTAATTCAGGGGAGGGAAGAGGCCTTAAGAAAGGAGACAGGCAGTGGACTTCCTCTGGCACTAATCTGGCCCATAGATGTTTGGGCCTAATGTAATTTGAAAAAATAAAAAAGATGTAACCTTATTTGTGTCCAAGCTAGTAAAGCAAGTTATACCAGTTAAATGCAGGCACATCAGGATTTATTTTTAGCAGTTATCTACTGACTAATATTTGGGTTGCTTCCAATTGTTTGCTACTACAAGCCATGTGGCCATGAACAACAGTGTACAAATATATCTTGGTGTACTTGTACATCTCTGTAAGAAAAATTCCTAGAAGTCAAATTCTTGGGTTTGGAAAAGGTATATTAAAAATGTTAATAAGCATTAGCAAATCATTTAATGCCACCTACCGTATCTGAGAATGTCTGTTTCTCCATACCTTTCACAATGAGACTATTGCAAAAATATGCTATAAACATTATTGGTTTCATTTTCAATAACTTAAATTCTTGGTCTGCAAGATAAGCTTTGCTCACTACCTGCTAGAATCTCTAGGAAGAGCCTTATTATAGACTCTGGAAAATCTGAATGATAGATGTAAGGAGAGATCATCTCATCCCTAGTAATGGGCAAGAGCTAAAAAGATAGAGCACAACGTGCATTTTTCTATTCAAAATCCCTCTTCAACTATTGTAGTCATTGCTTACACAAGATAAAGTGTTTATAGTCAGTGTAGAAGATGGAAACAATTATTTTTGCAAATTCCTGATTTCAGGACTGTGAGATCCTTTAGAGATTTCAAAGTAAGTGAATAGATAAGGTCAGTAGATCTTGAAACTGGATGCTGGGTGTCATCAAAGCCCACACTCTTTCCATCAGGATTTTGGTCACAAAAAGTGTTAGCATTCTAACAGAAACATTCTTACATATATTGAAGATTTTAAAAAGAAACAAAAAAATATCCACCAGAGTACACATTTGTCACAATCCATCAAATGGTAGATTAAGATGTGTGCATTTTGCTGTTTAAATTTTACATTAAAAAAAAACACACATAGAGAGTGCTCAAAAAATTAAACATAGAGCTACCATGTGATCCAGCAATTCCACTTCTGGGAATATACCCAAAAGAAGTGAAAGTAGAGACTTAAACAGATATTCGTACACCCAATGTTCATAGCAGCATTGTTTGCAACAGGCAAAAGAAGGAAGCAATCCAAGTGTCCATCGATGGATAAATAGATAAACAAAATGTGCTATGCACATACAATGGAATATTATTCAGCATGGAAAAAGAAGGAAATTCTGACACATGATACAACATGGATGAACCTTGAAGACATTATGCTAAATGAAATAAGCCAGTCACAAAAGAACAAATATTGTATAATTCCAGTTATATTGGTACCTCAAGTAGTCAAATCATATATACAGGAAGTAGAATGGTGGTTGCTAGGGGCTAGGGAAAGGAGAGGTTGAGGACTTAATGTGTCTAATGAGTAGAGTTTCAGTTGGAGAAAATAAAAAGGTCTGATGGTGGTACAACAATGTGAGTTCACTTAATGCCACAGAATTGTATACTTACAAATGGTTCAAATAGTAAATTTTATGTTTTACATATTTTGCCATACTAAAATTAAAAACACACATAAATATTGAATTCTAATGATGTGCATACTGCAGTATTTGGGGATGAAATGAACTGATGTCTGAAACTTTTTTTGAAATGTAACAAAAAATGAAGATGAATTGACATATTGATAGAGGAATGAATGGATATGTGATAAAGTAAATATAGCGAATGCAAATTATAGACTCTATGGTAAGTGTATTGGTGTTCACTGCACCATTCTTCCAACTTTTCTGTATGTCTGAAAGTTTTCTTAACAAGATGTTGGGGGGAAATGATCTGGACTAAAACAATAACTAGCAAGTGAAAGATTCTCTTTACCACAATTTCATATTTTGCTATTGTTAATTATGGGGAATAATTTTGTTATGGAGAGAACTTCAAGGGGAGTTAAGGAATACGACTGGTTTTTTGTTTGTTTTTAACCATGATCAGACTGTAACATTTATTAGATAAGCATTGGACAGGTATTGAGTCACAAGTGACTCCGTGATATTAAAAATAAACTCAATATCACCAAAGTTGATAAGTATCACTCTCTATATATCAAAGACAAGGGTCATAGTTTAGCTTTTTCTTCCATTTGTAGAATTTGAGCATGTGTAGAAGGAAAGAATCCCAGCCTACTTAGTCAAATGGAAAAGATGACACAAATAGATCAACTATGATGACATGCAACTTTAGAGCATTGGAGATCTGATAAATATTAGCTCTTTTTAGAAGTGTGGTAGATTATAAATAGCCGCTCTTCATTTACTCATAGAAACATATTAGAGAGCTCCACACTCTTGATCTTCAGTTTGTAGAAAAGTAAACAGAGAGAGGGCCTCCATTTCTGGACCTCTACATTGCAGGCATACTTAGGCAGTTTTTATAATTATGGAAACATGTGATCATCCTATCCCAATAACACT